CCTACAATGTCACTTATTGCAGCTGGAAAAATGGCTGGGAGAAATTTGACAATTTCCTTTTTAACAATTTTTCGATGGAAATTTCAATAATATTATCATATAGTTGTTATATCATATCATGAACTAGAATCTTCAAGCTTCAATTTAACATTTATATCATATCATAATTCTTAAAAATACAATAGATATGACATTTCGAAAATTTCGTATTATTTTTGATTTATAAATTAACAATTTTTTCTTTAGTAATTATTTCCAGGAAATTTCAATAATATTATGTCATAGTTTTTATATCACATCATAAACTAGAACCTTTAAGCTTCAATTTAACATTCATATCATATCACAATTCTTAAAAATTCAGTAGAAATGATTTTTTGAAAATTTCGTATTACTTTCGATTTATAATTTGACAATTTCTTCTTTAACAGTTTTTTGGTGGAAATTTCAATAATATTATCATATAGTTTTTATATTACAGCATAAACTAGAATCTTCAAGCTTCAATTTAACATTCATATCGTATCATAATTCTTAAAAATACAGTAGATATGATTTTTTGAAAATTTCGTATTACTTTCGATTTATAATTTGACAATTTCCTCTTTAACAGTTTTTTGGTGGAAATTTCAATAATATTATCATATAGTTTTTATATCATATCATAAACTAAAATCTTCAAGCTTCAATTTAACATTCATATCATATCATAATTCTTAAAAATACAATAGATATGACATTTCGCATATTTCATATTATTTTTGATTTATAAATTGACAATTTCTTCTTTAATAATTGTTTCCAAGAAATTTCAATAATATTATGTCTTAGTTTTTATATCACATCATAAACTAGAACCTTTAAGCTTCAATTTAACATTCATATCATATCATAATTCTTAAAAATACAATAGATATGACATTTTGAAAATTTCGTATTATTTTTGATTTATAAATTGATAATTTCTTCTTTAATAACTATTTCCAGGAAATTTCAATAATATTATGTCATAGTTTTTATATCTCATCATAAACTAGAACCTTTAAACTTCAATTTAACATTCATATCATATCATAATTCTTAAAAATACAATAGATATGACATTTTGAAAATTTCGTATTATTTTTGATTTATAAATTAACAATTTTTTTTTTAGTAATTATTTCCATTAAATTTCAATAATATTATGTCATAGTTTTTATATCACATAATAAACTAGAACCTTTACGCTTCAATTTAACATTCATATTATATCATAATTCTTAAAAATACAATAGATATGACATTTCGCATATTTCATATTATTTTTGATTTATAAATTGACAATTTCTTCTTTAATAATCTTTTCCAGGTAATTTCAATAATATTATCTATTACTTTTTATATCATATCATAAATTAGAATCGCTAAGCTTCAACTTCACATACATATCATATCATAATTCTTAAAAATACAGTAGATACGATTTTTAAATGTTTCGTACGATTTTAGACATATAAACAATTTTTTCCAAGAAATTTCAATAATATTAACTTACAACTTTTATATTACATTATGAACGAGAATCTTCCAGCTTCAATTTAACATTCATATCATGTCATAATTCTTAAAAATACAGTAGATATGATTTTTTGACAGTTTCGTATTACATACTTCTGATTTATAATTTGACAATTTCTTCTATAACAGTTTTGTGGTGCAAATTTCAATAATATTATCATATAGTTTTTATATCACATCAAAAACTAGAATCTTTAAGCTTCAATTTAACATATCATATAATAATTCTTAAAAATGCAGTAGATATGATTTTTTGAATATTTCTTATTATTCTTGATTTATAAATTTGAAAATTTCTTGTTTAATAATTTTGTCCAGGTGTGGCGTTATCTAATCTTATTATTATATTTTCTAGATCTAGTTATTATTTTCATATTCTCTATATGAGTATGTTGATGAAAGATAATAAATGGTATAGATTTTATTCATCCTTTTTTATAATTTTAATTTACAGATAAAAAATTTGGTAGAGTTATCTAATTTTATTATTAAAATTGTAAATAAAAAAAATGTAACATCAAAAATATGTTTGAAATTTAATTAATTTTTAATATTAATAGTAGTTAAACCATGATAACCACTATTTCAGGAAATTTCAATAATATGATCTTATAGTTTTTATATCACACCATAAACTAGAATCCTTAAGCTTTAATTTAACATAGATATCATATCATAATTCTTAAAAATGCAGAAGATATGATTTTTTGAAAATTTCGTATTATATTTTATTTGTAATTTGACAATTTCCTCGTTAATATTTTTTCGGTGGAAACTTCAATAATATTATCATATAGATTTTATATCATATCATAAACTAGAATCTTCAACTTTCAATTTAACATTCATATCATATCATAATTCTTAAAAATACAATAAATATGACATTTTGAAAATTACGTATTATTTTTGATTTATAAGTTGACAATTTCTTCTTTAATAATTATTTCCAGGAAATTTCAATAATATTATGTCATAGTTTTTATATCACATCACAAACCAGAATCCTTAAGCATTCATATCATATCATAATTCTTAATAATATAGTAGATATGATTTTCTGGAAGTTTCCTATTTTTTTTTTGATCTATTAATTTGTCAATTTTTTCCTTAATAATTTTTTCCAAGAAATTTCAATAATATGATCTTATAGTTTTTATATCACATTATAAACAAGAATCTGTAAGCTTCAATTTAACATACCTATCATATCATAATTCTTAAAAATACAATAGATATGATATTTCGAAAATTTCGTATTATTGTTGATTTATAAATTGAGAATTTCTTCTTTAATAAATATTTCCAGGAAATTTCAATAATATTATGTCATAATTTTTATATCACATCATAAACCAGAATCCTTAAGCTTCAATTTAACATATATATCATATCATAATTCTTAAAAATGTAGAAGATATGATTTTTTGAATATTTCTTGTTATTCTTGATTTATAAATTTGACAAATTCCCTTTAATAATTTTTTCCAGGAAATTTCAATAATGTTATCTAATAGTTTTTATATCACATATTAACTAGAACCTTTAAGCTTTAATTTAACATTCATTTCAAATCATAATTCTTAACAATATAGTAGCTATGATTTTTTGGAAATTTCGTATTTTTTTTTGATTTATAAATTGACAATTTCCTCTTTAACAGTTTTTTTATGGAAATTTCAATAATATTATCATATAGTTTTTATATTACATCATAAACTAGAATCTTCAAGCTTCAATTTAACATTCATATCATATCATAATTCTTAAAAATACAGTAGATATGATTTTTTGAAAATTTCGTATTACTTTCGATTTATAATTTGACAATTTCTTCTTTAACAGTTTTGTGGTGGAAATTTTAATAATATTATCATATAGTTTTTATATCATATCATAAATTAGAATTTTCAAGCTTCAATTTAACATTCATATCATGTCATAATTCTTAAATATACAGTAGATATGATTTTTTGAAAATTTCGTATTACATACTTTCGATTTATAATTTGACAATTTCCTCTTTAACAGTTTTTTGGTGGAAATTTCAATAATATTATCATATAGTTTTTATATCATGTCATAAACTAGAATCTTCACGCTTTATTTTAACACTCATATCATATCATAATTCTTAAAAATACAGTAGATATGATTTTTTGAAAATTTCGTATTGCTTTCGATTTATAATTTGACAATTTCCTCTTTAACAGTTTTTTGGTGGAAATTTCAATAATATTATCATATAGTTTTTATATCACATCATAAACTAGAATCTTCAAGCTTCAATTTAACATTCATATCATATCATAATTCTTAAAAATACACTAGATATAATTTTTTGAAAATTTCGTATTACTTTCGATTTATAATTTGACAATTTTCTCTTTAACAGTTTTTTGGTAGAAATTTCAATAATATTATCATATAGTTTTTACATTACATCATAAACTAGAATCTTCACGCTTTATTTTAACACTCATATCATACCATAATTCTTAAAAATACAGTAGATACGATTGTTTGAAAATCTCATATTACATATTTTCGATTTATAATTTGACAATTTCCTCTTTAACACTTTTTTGGTGGAAATTTCAATAATGTTACCATATAGTTTTTATATCAGATCATAAACTAGAATCTTCAAGCTTCAATTTAACATTCATATCATATCATAATTCTTAAAAATACAGTAAATATGATTTTTTGAAAATTTCGTATTACTTTCGATTTATAATTTGACAATTTCCTCTTTAACAGTTTTTTGGTGGAAATTTTAATAATATCATCATATAGTTTTTATATCATATCATAAACTAGAATCTTCAAGCTTCAATTTAACATTCATATCATATCATAATTCTTAAAAATTCAGTAGAAATGATTTTTTGAAAATTTCGTATTACTTTCGATTTATAATTTGACAATTTCCTCTTTAACAGTTTTTTGGTGGAAATTTCAATAATATTATCATATAGTTTTTATATCAGATCATAAACTAGAATCTTCAAGCTTTAATTTAACATTCATATCATATCATAATTCTTAAAAATACAGTAAATATGATTCTTTGAAAATTTCGTATTATTTTTGATTTTATAATTTAACAATTTCTTCTTTAATAATTTTTTCCTTAAAATTTTAACAATATTATCCAATAGTTTTTACATCACATCATAAACTAGAATCTTTAAGCTTCAATTTAACATACATATCATATCATTATTCATAAAAATACAACAGATATGATTTTTTTAAATTTTCATTTCTCCAAATCTTACAATTAGTTTAATATACATTTCTCGTTATTCTTATTATTAAACCGTATTATTTTTATACCTCGTCATAAAATACAATGTTTTAGCTCCAATTTAAGATATGAACAACGATATGAATCGGGGTTAATTTTTACATATTAATAAAGTGCAAATACTTACTATCACAGGTACATGGTTGAATAGATAACAAACAGTTAAAATCGGTAAAATAGTCTCCAATCCCACACTTTCCACTTCGTCCTCATTATTAATTTTTCTTCCCAAACACGGCCTTCGACTATTCGTCGAGCTAACAGTCGTTGAAATATTCGAAGTATCACTATTCCAATGTAACTGCTGCTGTTGTAATTGCTGTAACTGTTGATGGTGAAGACGATGACCTTCCGAGCTTCGAAAATCATCCGATTGCCGATGATCGTTTTTATAAACCTCCAAATAATGCCTCGGATAACCACCTTGTTGCGACGCCAAACTTAACTCGCTCAAATCCGAATTCGATTTCTTAACATACTCAAACCCCACGTCTTTCTTGCAAGCGTAAAAATTATAACACGTCAACACGAAAGCGACCAACGAAATAAACGCCAAAAACGAATGCAAAGTGATTATAAAAACGTTATATTTAACATCCATCTCGTACGGCATAAACTTACAAAGATTTAGGGGGAAAAAATCGAACGAAATCGTGGCGAATTCTTTCGATTTTTGCTTGGCTAAGATCGCAGCGACCCCGACGCAAGCACACAAAGTGGTTAAACAAAAAAGATGATAAACCATATGGGCCACGGTTAAATAATTTTTTAATCGCTCACGCTTCCGGTATAATCGGATCGAGAATAATGCGATTACCGCTAAAGTGGATAAGGTGCTCGCTTGGAACGTGTGAATCGAATTGAATATCCACACGAATACCGTGCAATATTCGAACCGAATTGCACTTTGCTCGATCATTTGTAAAACGGTATAAACGATTATCGAAACGTTTCGGAATATACTTTGAACGATTATCGCGACGATTGCCGTGTCGAAACATCTCCAGTTTTTTCGGTTTTTGTAGAAAATTACTACGGTCCATATTAAGATTATTGAAACGATCGGAACTGCTACGATTGTCGCTAATTGTAGGCGAGAGTAGTGGAGCATTATTGTTGGGTTCGTTGGGGATGTTATCTGAAAAGATAATAAATATTTTACAATTTCTAAAATAATATATTTTATATATGATGTTAAAGAGAATTTTAATTTAAGATTAAACTCATGTCTTTATGATCATAACTAACCCTCACGATATTTTAAATTTCACCCTGCATTTCAACATTTTAACAAATAAAGTATTAAGCTAATTAATGACTCATATCTATGGGACAATTTGGAATATTTTTGATTCAAAAGGTTTCTTTCTATCGTTTTTAATTTATGAGTTATAATCGATTATGTAATCAAAAACTTCAAAATTAGATATTTTATCATTTTAAATCTATAACATTGGTAATAATAAATAATGTATTAAACTAGTTAATCCCTCATATTTTTGGGATAATTTGGAATGTTTTTTATCCGAAAAGTTTCTTTCTATCGCTTTTGATTTATGAGTTATGATCGATTCTGATATTAAAAACGTTAAATTTAGATATTTTATCATTTTAAATCTATAACATTGGTAATAACTAATAATGAATTAAACTAACTAATGGCTCATATTTCTGGGATAATTTGGAATGTTTTTTATCCAAATAGTTTCTTTTTATCGTTTTTGATTTTTGAGTTATAATCGATTTTGATATCAAAAACGTCAAATTTAAATATTTTTTCATTTTAAATCTATAACATTGGTAATAACAAATAATGTGTTAAACTAATTAATCCTTCATATTCCTAGGATAATTTGGAATGTTTTTTATCCGAAAAATTTCTTTCTATCGTTTTTAATTTTTGAGTTATAATCGATTTTGATATCCAAAAACGTCAAATTTAGATATTATATCATTTTAAATCTATAACATTGGTAATAACAAATAATGTATGAAACTAATAGATGGCCCATATTCCTGGCATAATTTGGAATGTTTTTTATCCGAAAAGATTCTTTCTATCGTTTTTGATTTTTGAGTTATAATCGATTTTGATATCAAAAACGTCAAATTTAGATATTTTATCATTTTAAATCTATAACATTGGTAATAACAAATAATGTATTAAACTAATTAATGACTCATATTCCCGGGATAATTTGGAATGTTTTTTATCCAAATAGTTTCTTTTTATCGTTTTTGATTTTTGAGTTATAATCGATTTTGATATCAAAAACGTGAAATTTAGACATTTTATCATTTTAAATCTATAACATTGGTAACAATAACAAATAATGTATTAAACTAATTATTGAATCATATTTTTGGGATAATTTGGAATGTTTTTTATTCGAAAAGTTTCTTTCTATCGTTTTTAATCTTTGAATTATAATCGACTTTGGTATCAAAAACTGCAATTTTAGATATTTTATCATTTTAAATCTACAACATTGGTAACAATAACAAATAATGTATTAAACTAATTATTGACTCATATTTTTGGGATAATTTGGAATATTTTTTATCCGAAAAGTTTCTTTCTGTCGTTTTTGATTTTTGAGTTATAATCGATTTTGATAAGAAAAACGTCAAATTTAGATATTTTATCATTTTAAATCTATAACATTGGTAATAACAAATGATATGTTAAACTAATTAATGATTCATATTCCTGGCATAATTTGGAATGTTTTTTATCCGAAAAGTTTCTTTTTATCATATTTGATTTTTGAGTTATAATCGATTTTGATATCAAAAACGTCAAATTTAGACATTTTATCATTTTACATCTATAATATTGGTAATAACAAATAATGCATTAAACTAATTAATGACTCATATTTTTGGGATAATATGGAATATTTTTTATCCGAAAAGTTTCTTCTTATCGTTTTTGATTTTTGAGTTATAATCGATTTTCATATCAAAAACGTCAAATTTAGACATTTTATCATTTTAAATCTATAACATTGGTAATAACAAATAATGTATTAAACTAATTAATGTCTCGTATTGCTAGCATAATTTGGAATGTTTTTTATCCGAAAAATTTCTTTCTATCGTTTTTCTTTTTTGAATTATAATCGATTTTGATATCAAAAACGTCAAATTTTGACATTTTATCATTTTAAATCTATAACATCGTTAATAACAAATAATGTATTAAACTAATTAATGACTCATATTTTTGGGATAATTTGGAATATTTTTTATCCGAAAAGTTTCTTTCTATCATTTTTAATTTTTGAGTTATAATCGATTTTGATATCAAAAACGTCAAATTATACATTTTATCATTTTAAATCTATAACATTGGTAATAGCAAATAATGTATTAAACTAATTAATGTCTCATATTCCTAGCATAATTTGGAATGTTTTTTATCCGAAAAGTTTCTTTCTTTCGTTTTTAATTTTTGAGTTATAATCGATTTTGATATCAAAAACGTCAATTTTGACATTTTATCATTTTAAATCTATAACATCGTTAATAACAAATAATGTATTAAACTAATTAATGACTCATATTTTTGGGATAATTTGGAATGTTTTTTATCCGAAAAGTTTCTTTTTATCGTTTTTTATTTTTGAGTTATAATCGATTTTGATATCAAAAACGTCAAATTTAGACATTTTATCATTTTAAATCTATAACATTGGTAATAACAAATAATGTATTAAACTAATTAATGACTCATATTCCTGCGATAATTTGGAATATTTTTTATCCGAAACGTTTCTTTCTATCGTTTTTGATTTTTAAGTTATAATCGATTTTGATATCAAAAACGTGAAATTTAGACATTTTATCATTTTAAATCTATAACATTGATAATAGCAAATAATGTATTAAACTAATTAATGACTCATATTCCCGGGATAATTTGGAATGTTTTTTATCCAAATAGTTTCTTTTTATCGTTTTTGATTTTTGAGTTATAATCGATTTTGATATCGAAAACATGAAATTTAGACATTTTATCATTTTAAATCTGCAACATTGGTAATAATAAATAATGTATTAAACTAATTAATCCCTCATATTGTTGGAATAATTTGGAATGTTTTTTATCCGAAAAGTTTCTTTCTATCGTTTTTGATTTTTGAGTTATAATCGATTCTGATATCAAAAACGTCAAATTTAGACATTTTATCATTTTAAATCTATAATATTGATAATAACAAATAATGTATTAAACTAATTAATGACTCATATTTCTGGGATAATTTGTAATGTTTTTCATCGGAAAAGTTTCTTTCTATCGTTTTTGATTTTTGAGTTATAATAATAAGCATTTTATTGTTTTTGATAATTACAATTTTCCCCTTAATACATCCTAATATAATATATATTATGTCATTAGTATATTATTTTCACTCTCTACCCTCTTCCTCCATTTCCATACCCTCGGCTCCTCGGCCCAATCCTCCCCTCATCCATCCCTTTGTCTCCTCACCCCCACAACCATTCTCATCCATCGTTTCCCCTCTCCCCCCGCTCCTAAGATCTGCCGTCGGTCCAACTCCTCCTCCCTCAACTCACTGCACCCATTCAACATATGTTCCAACGTTTCCCATTCCTCCCTGCATAGCCTACACCACCTAATTTCCCTCCAACACTTCCTCAAGATCCTGCAGTTTGGCCTCCCTTCTATTCTCTCTTCATATTTCACTGCTCTCCTGCCCGCCTCCACTCTGACCTTATCCACCTTTACCTCTTTCCTCACTATATACCCCGGTGTTTCTCTCGCCACCCCAAGCACCCATCTCCAGTATCTAGCTTGCACGTCCTCCAGCATTGCCTGCTCTCTCCATACATCATCACACTGCTAACCAGACCTTCAAACATAATCTTCCTCGCTCGTACACGTTGTCGATTGCTTCCCTTCCCTTCCGAAAGCCTGCCTGCCCATCCGGCAAAATTCCCCCCAACTCCATCTCCTCCTCCAGTCTTCCCAGCAGTATCTTCGTGTATACCTTGTATGCCGAGTCTAGTATGTTAATTCCTCTGTAGCTCTCTACCCTTCCCTTATTACCCTTTTTATATACTGGGCAAATTACCCCCAGTTTCCATCCCTCCGGAATCCCAGCCCCTCTCCATACGCTATTCATCCCCTCCAACAACTTCACTCTCACCACCCTTGATGCTTCCAACCATGCCTCGTTCTGGATCCCATCTTCCCTTGGCGCCTTTCCCTTCTTCATTCCCCTAAGCACTGCTTCCATCTCCTCTTCTGCTATCTCCTCTCCCCCATCTCCCTCATAGTCTCCCAAACATGTTAGCCTCGTTTCAACCCCTCCCAATAATACCATAAAGTAACTCTTCCATTCTGTCATGTGTATTTCGCTGGTTATCCTCTCCCTACCCTTCTTTCTCTTTTTCAGATACCTCCAGACCTCCCCTTCCCTTGTTATCCCTCTAATTTCTGCCGCTTCCTTCTCCCTCAGTTCTGTTTTCTTTCTACTGCATAACTCTCTGTATCCTCTCCTAGCCACCCTATATCTATACACCCCTATCTTCCCCCGTCTCCACTGCCTCAACCTCCTTCTCGCCTCCCTCTTCGCCTTCTTGCACTCGCCATCATACCAGTCGTTCCTCCCTACTCTGCCCCCCTACGTACACACTCCCTTTTCAGTGTTGCCTCCCGCACGACCTGGATAAGTTCTTCCAAACCATTGATCTCTTGTATCTTCTGTTGCTAAGTGTCTAAGTTCCCCCTGTAGAATGCTACCCCTTCTTCCGACCAGTCTGTCCTGATGAACGTGCTCCCCATTTCCTCTCGCCTTCTGCCGTCCACCCCCTTTACCTCCAACTCCAACGGTTGGTGATCCGACTCTACCGCTTCTCCCACTTTAAACCTTTCCACGCTCTCCCACATTTCCTGATCCACCAGTACATAATCAATCACAGATGTCCCCCTCGCCCTGATGTAAGTATACTCCCCTTCCTCTCCTTCCTCTTTATTTCCATTCAGTATCTCCCATCCGTTCTCCTCCACCCATCTCAGCATTTCTGTTCCTTCTCCATTCCGCACAGTATCCTTCGACCGCCGTCGTCCCTCCTCTCCCCATATCTCCACCCTTCCCCCCTCCTCG